AATAAAATAAATAACAAATAAGAGATGAATACAATAAGGATCTATGCAGATAATATTGAGTAAAAACATGCGAAACATTTCCTATGTTCTATTTTTTTTTGTCGTTGTTGTGATAAGAGCGAGAAAGGAATTTTTTTCTTCTTCATGTTTTTCAATTCAAAGTGACAATAAATTAAATTGCTGAAAACAGCGGAGGAAGAAGTTTTTTTGGGGAAGCGTTCATGAATGATGTCTTGGTTACTGAAAGTTTAAGTTCTGAACACATTGCAAACTGTTTAGAATGAGTTACATTAGTTTTGTGCTAGCGATACATCAGTGTCACAGTTGCGATACATAAGGTTCACACAAGCGACATAGTATCACTCTAGCATCACACTAGCGATACAGTAGCACTCTGGTGTTACACTTGCTACCCAGTAGCACATTAGTGTCACACTAGCGACACAGTAGCACAATGACATCACACTAGTGATATAGTGGAAAACTAGGATTACACTAGCAATACAGAAGCACATTAGTGTCGTGACACAGTAGCACAGAAGTGTCACGATACAGTGAAACTAGGGTTGCACTAGCGACTTAGAAACACATTAGTGTGTCAAGACACAATAACATATAAGTGTTACAACACAAGCGATACACTACTAATACATTAGAAATATAATATAGTGTCGTTGAGCTACTTTTACGAATTTCGGTCATTTTTAAGGACAAAAGTCCGAATCGATCTTGAAAATATCGAAAGACATGAAAGATAATTTTCATTTTATTATAGACGTCATTTATGAATAATCCCCTTATGCTGTTATATGTTCCACTTTGTGAGGATATTAATTCCACTGGTTGTGTTTGTTTTCCATTGAAAAAAATTTCTTCCTTTTCTTTTCTCAAACAATTTCAAATGAGGAACTGAAATTCCAACCCATCACACAAAAAAAAATCTCATCCTTTTTATTCTCTTCTTTTCTTCTCTTTTCAGCCAAATTTATTGCCATTCTTTTTTTTGCAAGAAATTATTTTATTGCATAAACAGTTTTTTTTTCTCATTGATGAGGAATTTTTTTAAAGGACTAGTGACTGTCAACCGTTTGTTGATCAAATATTTGGACATTTAAGAAATTATTATTTTTCACAAACATTTCACATTTTTGGGTCTTTAATTCTTCCCAGGAAATTTTAAACTTTTTTCACTTCGCGAATATTCCGCATTATTTTAAACTCATTTTCTAGCTCCCGGACGTCTTGAAATGACAAACTCGTGAAACAAACTGAGTAGTGAGAGGAAAATGCAATGCAATTTTGTTTTTCATGCTTGGAGGGGAAATTTTGTGGACGGCGAATTCGCATTTGTTGCAGGAATGAATGATAATTTGTATGAAAATGTTTTTGAATTTTTTAAGCAAATTTTCGCATTTTTTCCAATTTTTAAGATTAAATTTTTCAAAATTTCATTCAATTAAATCAACAAATTTAAATCCCGGCATTTTACTCCTTAAAATTATTAACAACAAGAGCGAATTCATCCACAACCCCTCACGCGCATGTCATCCTCTCAATTCCAATACACAACAAATCCCTTACTTATCACCAGATCGATATTTTCTCTCTTGCATTATCCTTGCACATTCTCTCTATTTTGAGTCTCTCTCTCATTGTCTCAGCATGCACGTCGATGTAACTATGTTTATCATAATAAAAATTTCCTTTAACAGAGAAAAAAAATGCTTTTTGATGCTATTGAGAGTGAGGAAAAGGTATGGCATGGAAAAAGGGGGTCAATGAAAAAATAATGATGCTAGAAACGCAACTTACTCACAAATAAAAAATTATAAGACAGTAGAAATTGAAATATGATTGTTATTAATTTTTATAGTACCTTGCAGGCACGTCCTGAACCCCTTTTTATTGTCACTAATGTGAAACACATTGTAATAAATGTTCGAACACATTCTTCGATTTTTTTTTTATCCATCCATCCATCCATCCATCCCCAACAGAAAAATGTTAATGTAGCATTTTATTAGAGATTCAATATCTTTTATTCACTCACTCAATCATTGATTCTGGAAACATGTCAATTTTGTAATAAAAATTAATCAGTTAGCATGCTGTGTGTGTTCTATTCTCTCTGCTTTTTGTTTCCTTTTCTTACTATACACAATGTATGTTGTGCGAGGAGATGAATGTAGTGGAAAAATACTTTGAAATTATCCCTTACGATTTATACGTACGATGTGGATTTACAATTCAATTGAAATGACGTACAGGAAAATGAGTTCTTCGAGCAGAAATTAAATTTTCACTGTTTTTGTAGAAGTTGTTGGGAGAATTTATACGATTTTTGGCATATACAAGAAGCAATGAGAATTCAGTGATATTTAAGAAGGTTTGTAATACTTTTTTGAAATCTAAGTCGATGGTTTTGTAACATGGCTATAGTCAGGAGGTGCTACTGGAATCCGAAACTCCCCAAATTTTTGAATGATTAAGCCAAATTCTACCATAAGTGTTCAATGCTTACGATCAAAGGAGGAGGTCGGTGTGGGGGTCTATGAATGTTTTTAAAGGTCGGAATAAAACGTTTTTAAAGTGCCAGTGCAAAAGCATTTGCTGGTTACTTGGGGAGCTTAGCATTTTCTGCTATTTTACATTATTGTCAAGTATAGCTACGAAATATCCTAAAATTTTGCTTAACTTATCAAATCATAAAGAACTTTTAATCATATCTGCAGGGGGGGGGGGGGGGGGGGCAGAGCAAAAATTGCTATGAAAAAAACCCAAAAATGTTTACTGTGATGAAATTTCCAAGTACTCCACAAACGAAATTGAAAAAGTCAAATTTAAAGGAACTGAAGCATCAAAGTAAAAATTTTTGGATGTCAAAAGGTCTTAAATCATGATTCTCATCAGTTCCAATCAAAATTTCGGTGCTAAACTGCATCGGAAGGAAGTTGTCGACAATTTTTTAAAGGTTTTTTTTCATAGCAATTTTTGCTCTGCCCCCCCCCCCCCCCCCCCCCCTGCATATCTGTATGAAACAATTTTTTTTAAGATTTTAATATCCAAACTACAAAGATCCGAAATTGTCAAGAAGATCTTTTAAATTTAATCACCCAAGGGGTCGTTTACTTATTATAGTTGCATTTTAGGGTATAACGGGTCTTGGATTTTGTAACAATTCAAACAAAGTAATACATTTTGTACACATATTCTGCAACGAGAGGGAACGGGGGTTAGAAATTAATTTTTTTGTGTAGGGTCATAAGAAGAGGATCTGAAAGTATAAAAGAGCATCTAAAAAACCAAGCAGATGGTCAGCCTAGTCATAAGTGAATGATTCCCAACCACTTCTTCTGGAAAAGCTTAAGGTATCGTATTTACAACCAAAAACAAAACATAATTCTCAAAAACATCTCACAATCAGCATCCAAATCAAGATAAAATAAAAGAATAAAATCAATCCTCAAAAGAAAATGCACTTTATCCATCAATTTCCCAGTAACCCTTAAACAATATTTTATCTCCACATCACTTGATTTACTCTACCTTTCTCTTAACTTTGATACTAAAATATACATGATATAAACTAAAGAATGGTAAAAAGTAAAATAAACTTCAATTCTTCTTTGTCAATCAGTTTCAATAAAAGTTTACATCGATTTTTTTTTCGGTATATACATAAAAATATCTATTGACGTATTTCAATGTGAAATCGAATGGAAAATTTTTCATTTTGTAGAGGATTTGTGTCATGCACTTTCCGCTTTTTGTGGGGAAATCGTAATGCGATTAAATTTTTTTTTTACTTCCTTTTTGCTTCTTCTACTTTTAGCCTTTCTGTTTTTGTAACGCTTTCCATCTATTTTTCATATTTCGGACAAGGGACGAATAAATTGGAACTAATTGTGGGTGTGAGGAATTGATTTGTAAATTTGTGTGTCGATAATGAGGAATAATGTAAGACTGTTGTGCTTCTTACATGGTGATGGATGTGATTTATAAGAAATTTGTATTGTATTGAGAAAGAAAATAGAAATTTAATGGAAATGTAGTTTGTGACTCAGGTGTGTAGCGAGGGGGGAGGTTTGGGGGACAAATGCCCCTTCGTCTTTAGAAATTTTTTCAATTATGCTAGGGTTTTTATCAAAAATTTGCAAAATTACTCCCCCCCCCCCCCCCCTCAAAAAATTCAATCCCAATTTTTTTGCCCCCTCTTCAAATTCCTGGCTACACCCCAGTTGTAAGTTTTGAATTTCTATCCTAATAATTCATCATGTGTTCCTAAAAATTGAATCTTAAAGATTAAAGAATTTAAAATAATAAAAGAATTATAAAAATTTAATTAACAAGGATTCTCACATATGACTTTCCCTATTGATTATAATTGGGGCAAACCACAACGAAACCAAAACATACATGAGCTGTAAAGACATTCAAACTTCTGTAAAACTTGACCACATTTTCTGATTGACCAAATACTTATAATTTCTTAATATTGTTAAGCACATTAATAATTATCGGCTTTGTCTAATTTCTTGCTATGCTCTAGTAACCACGAGCGTTAAAAGTAAGTTTCAAGCAAGCTTTAAGCTAGTCTATATGAATTTTAGAAGTTATGTCCTTTCAAACTCTCCAAAACATAGATCCAGCAAACCTTAAAAGCAATGACGTCTCCAAGCGATAGCCATTCCATAAATTAGTGAGATTTTTCCACGCCTTGCAAAAAAAATTTTTATATTTTCCCCTTAAGCTCACTAGATACAGCATTTTTATCTTTACTTCCATAAATGAATGAATGATGAATAGTGAAATAGTTATTACAGTGAAGATTACCAAGTGCTTTTTATTTCAAATGTTCATCTCAACAGTATTCGAATCCCAATAGCTGTTGCTTTTTTTTTTTTATTTCGCAATATCTCTCATCTCCACAATTTTTTTTATTGTTGAGCATAAAGTCGACAAAAGACTGTATAGAATGAGTAAGCGTAGCTTAGTACCTATTAAGTGAAAATGATTTTATTAGAATATTCTTTAGGGTAAATTTGTTCATCACTTGCCGTTGTGAATTGCTTGAGTGTTACATCGCCAAATTTCATGATTGTAAGGCATTCAGGCTTTTGTGATCGCTGTATGATGGAAATGAATGCTCTTCTGATCTGAATATCATTTATGTCCTCCCATCCACACTCATAAATTCCATTAACAACACTCTCGCTTGCATCTTTTAGCATTTGTCCGAAAAAGCACTGAGTATAAACGAGTAATAAAGTTACAGCACAAAGGAAAACTTGATCAATCATATCCGTAATTCCACTTGAGATTGTTGCTGAAAATGCTACGAAACAGACAGTGAAGGAATTCGATAGAATGTTGCACAAAAGTGGAAATGAGAAAATATTTTCCAATTTATTCCTGATGATGAAAAGCTCATTGTGTTTCTGGATGAGTGACTTTAATTCTTGATGAAGTTCTTTATGTCCTTGAAATTGTGTCTTTAAACTTTTAAAGTTCATGCTTAAAATTTAAAATTCAATTGACAAAGTGATGATTAATGTGCAGAGAAGAAAGTCAAACAATCCAGTGTTGATTAATATGTAAGTGTAAGTGAATGTCGTCCATAAATATGCTAATGGATAGAGATATGCACTTACTTGGCCATTTTCAAATGGACTGTTCAAAGGAAAATTCATTTCACCGTAAAATATTAATCCAATTAATGGTCCGAAATTCAAAAAGAACATGACAAAGACTGAATTGAATAAAATCATGTTCCTCATCATTTTAAAATATTTTGTATATCCAGAGATTTCAAATGCATCAACTTGAGTTTGTTGATATGATTTTTTCATGACATCCATTACATCTGCAATTTCCATTTTCTTCTGGAATATCATAATGAATCTCAGCATGTATCTTATCACAGATAATGTTGAGCAAATCGCAAACACTAAGGTCCTTACATCATTATCGCCACTGTAAAGTAAGTGAGTTGATAATCCAAAGAATATTGATGCATTTAGTGCGAGCAGGAGATACAGAGCATCAGCGATATAAATCCTTAAATAATCTCTTCGGCTGAGATCATTGCTGTGCTTTTTAAATACCAAACATATTAAATTGAAGATTTTTATGCACTTAATGTAATAATATTGAAAATCAACGACAATTTCAGTCATTTTGATTAAAGAATAGAACCACAAATGAGGAATATTCTTTATTCTGAATAGAATTGGATAGTCGGTTGTGGATGGTATTAAAAGTTGGAAACGTATGTTTTCAGGATCTCAAACTTTTTTTCGTATGAGAATTTTGAACTTATTCGGTAAAGTTATCAGACGTTTATTGACTTAATATAGCGTTTAATTGACGTGTCCTTTAAAATGCCAGGAGGAACTTGAAAAAGAAAAGTTATAGTTTAATTGGAAATATCTAAAAGCAATTAAAAAGCTTTCATTCAGTGGCTTTAAATTTTTTGGTGCTTCCTTTTTTAAAAACGCCTTAGAGGCATCTATTAACTTTATCAGAATTTGTTTTATTTCATTCAAAACTAATTTTTCAACTTCAAGCTTCTTCCTTTCTTTTAAAAAAATGTCTTCAAAACAAATAGAATTTAAACTGAACTTTTCTTAACTTAGTACCTAATTTACTATGCACAGGAGCGTAGCCAGGAATTTAAAGCGGGGGAAGGGGGTTGGACAAAAAAATTTTTGTATGGAAAATTCAGAGGGAGGGGGGTTTTATGATTTTTTCATGTAGCTCCTAGCAAAATAAAGAAATTTCTGTTAACGTCGGGGGATTTGTCCCCCAAATCCCCTCCTGGTTACGCGCCTGACTATGCATAAATATTTCATTATTAACCAATTTAAAATAATACGATCAATACATCAAACCAAAAAAACTCTTTTAAAGAAAATTTAATGCGTAGCATAAAGTTGACAAAAGACTGTATAGAAGGAGTAAGCGTAGCTTAATACCTATTAAGTGAAAATGACTTTATTAGATTGCTTTCATAATAAATTATTATTTATCACTTGCCGTTGTGAATTGCTTTAGCGTTACATCGCCAAACTTCAAGTATGTCAAACATTCGGGCTTTTGTGATCGCTGTATGATGGACACAATGATCTTTCTGACCTGATAATCTCTTATGTCCTCCCATCCACACTCATAAATCCCAATAACAACACTCTCGCTTGCATCCTTTAGCATTTGACCAAAGAAACATTGAAGAAGTATTAGAAACAATAAGGCAGAACAAAAAAATAGTTCTTCAATCATGCCTGTACTTTCAATTGTAATTGTTGCATGAAATGCAGTGAAACAAGCGGAAAAGGAATTCGAAAGAATGTCGCCAAAAATTAAAACCGAGAAAATATTTTCCAAATCATCCTTAATCATAAATAGTTCATTGTGTCGCTGGATGAGTGACTTGATTTCCTGACAAATTTCATTGCCTTTACAGATTGCCTTGAAGTCAGCACTTAACATTTGAAAATCTATAGACAGTACAATGATTAGTGTATAAAATACACAATCAACGAATAAAGTTGAGAAAATGATGTAGCCATATGTGAAGAATGTCCATAAATATGCGAATGGAAATAAATAAATGTTGAAATGTTCAGCTTCAAATGGACTATAAACAGGAAAGCTCATTTGAAAATAAAAGAGGATCTTGATGAGTGATCCGAGATTGATTGAAATGATGGATCCAATCCCAACAGTTAGTGTAGTGTTCTTGACTATCTTAAAATATTTGAGTGACTTCTTAATTTGATATTTATCAATAGTTTCTTCGTCATAAGATTTCTTTAATACTTCCATAACTTTATCAATTTCTGTTTTCTTATGAAATGTCCATAAAATCCTTAAAATGTATCTGATTGATGAAACAGTTGAACTTAATGCAAATATTAAATTCTTTACATCAGATGCTTTAGTGTACAGCAGGGACGATGAAAATCCAAAAAATATTGATGCATTTAATGTTAGAAGAAAGTAAATCAAGCATCCTATAATATTATGAAGTCTAGTGCACAAACAAAACTTTGATCTGCACATTTGAAAATCTAGAAAAATCCATTTAAAGATCTTTTTGTAAATCTTGTAACTATAATTAATATCAACAATAACTTTCGATTTAGTTGTCATTTTGACTCAAGAAGCAAACTTCAAATAGACTTTTTTTGTCGTCAATATTTTTTTTTGAACAAGCTGGTCATTTTTACTACGAAAAGGATACGAAATCATGAATTTTTCATTTTTAAATGAAATTTTTTAACACAATTCTTTCGAAGCAAGTTTAAGGACATTTCAGCTTTTGACTGAATTTGTTAATAATTCATAGCTGTAACATTTATAATTCAAATATTTTATTTCAATTTTTTAAAAAAAAGCTTCAACTTTATAATTTCAATTTAAAAATAATTCTTTCATTTTTTTACTGCGTAGCATAAAGTTGACAAAAGACTGTATAGAATGAGTAAGCGTAGCTTAGTACCTATTAAGTGAAAATGATTTTATTAGAATGTTCTTTAGGGTAAATTTGTTCATCACTTGCCGTTGTGAATTGCTTGAGTGTTACATCGCCAAATTTCATGATTGTAAGGCATTCAGGCTTTTGTGATCGCTGTATGATGGAAATGAATGCTCTTCTGATCTGAATATCATTTATGTCCTCCCATCCACACTCATAAATTCCATTAACAACACTCTCGCTTGCATCTTTTAGCATTTGTCCGAAGAAGCATTGAGAAAATATAAGAAGGAATGATGCAAAGCTAAAAAAGGCTTGATCAATCATATCTGTGCTTCCAATTGAGATTGTTGCATAAAATGCAGAAAAACATGCGTTTAAGGAATTCGAAATATAAGTGCACAAAAGTGGAACTGAAAATATTTCTTCTAATTTATTTCGAATGATAAAAAGCTCGTTGTGTCTATTGACTAATGATTTCATGTTCTCTTGCATTATGATCTGGTTAATCTTTAAATGTTTAAAGTCCTGACTTAATATTTTAAATTCAATGCAAGTTACAGTAATGAGAGAGTAAAGAACAAAATCAAATAAACAATTTGTGAGTATTATATAAGAATATGAGAAGAATGTCCAAAAATACGCAAGTGGATACAAATAAATGTTGATGCTTTCAGCATCAAAAGGACTGTCTAGAGGAAAGCTTATTTGAAAGAAGAATATAAGCTTCATTATTGGACCAAAATTCAGAACAACTATGCCAGCGATGCCAACCATACGTGTAAAGCTTGTCATCGTCCTAAAATATTTAATTAAACTTCCAATTTGATATTTATCAACAGCATCTTGGTCATAAGACTTTTTCATTATATCCATAACATCAGCGATATCCATTTTCTTATGAAATGTCCATAAAATTCTCAAAATATATCTTATCATGGAAATAGTTGAACTAAGTGCAAATATCAAGTTTTTTACATCAGATGATCCACAAAATAATTTGTAATTTGATAAAACGAAAAATATTGATACATTCAGAGTAAGCAGGAGATAAATGATGTCCGACAAAAGTATCTGGAGATTTTCCGTTAAAGTTAATTGGCCATTACAGACTCGAAAATCCAAAAATATTAATTTAAAGAACTTAATGCACTTAATGTAATAAAATTGAAAATCAACCACAACTTTTGATGTTTCAGTCATTTCAATTCAGCAGCTGACAAACAAATGAAAATTTATGACCATTAATTTGAGACGTAGGAAAATTTTGAAGGTAATTTTCCCAACTTTTTCATGAATTTTTCATGACAATTTCCAGAAAATCAATTAATTTAAAATGTCAACTGTAATTTTTTTTATAAAGTTTATAAAATAAATCACTTTTAAAACTAAAGCAAGAAGTTAAAAAAATTACAGAAGTCCTCGTGTTATTAATCGAGAGACTTAAACGCATTTTTGACGCAGCGATTAGTATTTGACAAGCTTCAAAAATTGAATAGATTAAGAATAAATTTGAATTTCTGAACATACTCTTAACAATTTTTAAAGCGGTAGAAAAAAATTCAAATTTTTAAACATACTCATCACGTGGTTTTGTTTATGAAATAAGAATCATTAATTATAGCATAAATACATGGTTTGAAGAATTTTAATCATTCGATGGGCCGATAAATTGATAGTAACGGAGCTAATAAAACAAACCCGAGCTTTCTACGATGTCTGGTTAAAAAGTTTTTCTTCGTCCGAGTAGCCGAACAGCCGAACAAAGTGTATTATTAAGCATCCTTTTAGAGACAAGTTTCAAAAATGCGCTAAAAATCCCGAATGGCACAAGACAGTTAATGGATCAGAAAGTATTCACTAATTCGATGTGACTTTGCTAAGCATCATCCCAGAGTCATGCTAACCTGTGCTATTCGGGAATTATTCAACAATTTTTTATTAAATTGTCCCGATCAGCACACATTAAATTTCATAGAAATATTTGTCACACGACAGTCGGGTTGATAGTATAATTTGAACAAAGTTGGAAGTTGCTTCCAAGCAGCTTCCGCTTGGTTAATGGTATACTATCAACCCGGCTTCCGGAGGGCAAACATTTCAATGTGTGCTGATCGGGTGTAAACATCACAATACCTACAACACTATGGAAACAAAAGCTTAGTAGCCATAAGCAACAAAGAAATATTTTAAAGAATCAGTTCCTTGAATTAAATTATTTAGTTCATCGTGCTGTGAGAATATCATTTCAATTTATTATCAAATTCAATGAAATCTATTTTAATTAAATTTTACAATAAAACTGAAAATTCCTTCCTGTAGACACAAAAATCACTTCAATACCATAAAATCCACATATTGCATAGGTATTAAAATTTTTATTATTATTATTTTTATTATTATTGCCACTAAGTTCAAAGGGGAAACCATGTAAGCCTTTTATTATAACAAATATCATAATAATAAATGTAAAAGCATTATAAGCACAAACATGAGACATTGTTTTACATGTTTTATGCCCAAGAACTACATTAGTGAGGAGAAAGATTTAGTTTCAACATTAACTTAATCGGATTATGTTGGTTACTACTTATGTGTTGTCTTTTGAATGTTCATATTCATTGTTGGAGTGTTTATAGAATTTCATAAGTATATGAAAATGAAAATTTAATGAATAGAAGGTGGCTTCATTTTTGGTAGAAATTATATGGCAACGTTTGAAGTAAAGATGAGGTAGAATAGGAATTAAAATTGAGAGTTTGGTTGATGCTAAGATTCTTTTTTGGAATTGAATGTCTTTGACAAGAGATTAACAACTTTGAAGTTATTTAATTCCTCCAAAAATATTTATTATGACCAAATTAGTTCTAATTTAATGCTCCAAGAAAGATTTGACCACTTAAAAATTTATGCAGGCTGACTTACCCTTCGCTCTTCTTTGAACTTTTCACATCGGTTACCACATTTCATTTACAGCCAATACCACAACCATCATAATAATTGACTAAATTTCCAATCAAAAACAGACACCACCTCCCTCCTTCCTCTGTTAAATTTGAGGTTATCAGCTGTCGATGATGGTACAATCGTGACATTCATTAATCATCATTTCTGCTGATAATAAAGCTTCACTCCTTTCTTTTTCTTTTCATCACGCCTTGCTTCTTCATCATTTTCATATTTCATGGCAACAAAAAAAAAACATTTCTTTCATGTGCAGCACACAGAGAGCTGCCTCTGCCATTTCGTCGCTTATTGAGCAAAACCAATTGTGCTTTTTTTATATTTTTTAAAGGAGAAACAGAAACTGTGCTTTGTGGTTTTTCTTCTTTTATTCAACTTAAGGGCACGTTTGAATGTTTTGTAATACTAAAGTTGACTTTAATGACCCGTCCTCTTTTTTTGGTTGGAACAAACTTTTGATGACAATCGTAAATATTTAATATGACTCCAAAGCAGGGGCGTTGCCAGGAATTTGAAGAGGGGGGGGGGAGACAAATTTTTTATTGTGTGGAATACTTTAGGGGGGGGGGGGGGTATTTTTGTGATTTTTTCATCAAAAACTCTAGCAAAATGAAGAAATTTCTCAAGACGAAGGGGAATTTGTCCCCCAAATCCACCTCCTGGCTATGCGCCTGCTACAGAGGCTTCCATAACTTAGGAACGATCCCAAAATAAACCCTCACGTATATATTTATTTTCCTTAAAGCTATAAAATAGCTGATAAGCATTGAGTACAATGGATGCAAAAAAGAAACAGAAAAGGGAAATTTTTAAACAGTTTTTCAATAGTTTTCTTGTGAAAAGAGAGGAGAATTAATGGATGGCTGTGGAAAGCAAGAGGTGGACGCAGAAAGTGGGGGTTGGAATTATTATTAATGTGAACGGGATACAGTTATTGTATATGAGCTGCAGGCACTGCAATTATTGTAGTTGATAGAATTTACTAGATCAAATTTTTGGAATTGACAAATTTTGGGAAAAGGTTTGGCAAATGGAGTGGGCTGGTAGAAATGTGTTCGACAAGAAATTGAATTTTGAACCAGGGTCTGGTTTCTAGGGTAACCCGAGGTACGCTATGCTTAAATTGAAAATTAATAAACTTGATAAAATCATAAGTCCCCAATAAGCTATCCCTGGAAGCTAGAGTATGTTTTTTCGCTATCGGATTCGAAAAATCCAGATCTCGATTGATCTCGGGATCCTAAAAATTTTTCGGTACAAGGATTGTGCTTGTAAGTCATCCAGGAAGATAGAAGTTGCCTCATATCAAACTCAATGACTCAATCTTAATTTCATCCCTGCTTCCAGGTCTTCAAATTCAAACACAAAAGGAAGAGAAAGAAGAAAAGGTAAAATAAATGGAAAATCCATTCATAAATTTTCATATGAAATGGGAATAAAAATTTATATTAATCAGGATTAGTGGATGAAAAAAAAAATAAAATAAAAAGATGAATATGAAAATTTATAGCAAAAATGTGCTTCATCATTGTACGGTAATGTAGCGATAAGGTGAATGGATATAACATTATTATTATCATGCACGAGAAAATTTTACAGCTAGAATTATACACTGCTGCACGATTGTCATACCCGCAAAAATTCATTAATGGTCAAAAATGTTTACTCATTATAGACGCATTAGCATTTTTCCATTCTATACGAATTCGAGAGAGCTTAAGCTGGAAAGTTCTGGAGCCTTTACTGTGCTCAATGACATAACCAACATATATGGGATGTACATTATCTACCTGTGGATGTCGTCATTGTAATACAAAAAAAAATATTTTCATCTGCTGTAAAAAAAAATGTATAATGGGAATACAGTCACAATAAAAGGAGAGAACAAGAGTGTAGAATAAAAAGTATTCAAACATAATCCTTTTCATTTTGGATTTATGTCTATGGGAACAGCTTTTGTGATGGTATAACGGATAATCGCTGAAATGGAGATTGAACAAAACATTTTTTTTTGTGCTGTATAATTTTTACAGGACAAAAAATAATTTTTTCTACAAGCCCGTGTACATAAATTTCCTATAAATCCTTCACGTGGAATTTTTTGTTCTGAGCTACTCGAAATTAATATTTTCAAGGGATTTTTACTTACACAATTTTAAGGGTTATGGATGAATTGGTCTGAGAAATAACTAGGGATGAACATTTTGAGTTAAGAAATCTTAAAAGTGACTGAAACCTCCAACCCACTTCCTCACATCACTTTTAAAATTTATAAACTTAATCCTTACCATTTAATCCTCCATCCCCCTGAACAAACTAATTTTCTAATTTAATTTGATTGTTTTGCAAAGTTTTGTGAACCAGAAATCAATTAAAATTTTCATTTTCATTTACATTTTCAATCCGAGAAGCATATATATGTGTGTACGCATATAGGAAGGAGGAAGCGACAAACAAAAATCTCATTACACTAATATATTTATGCTTATTCACCGAGCAAATTTAAATTAATTGGTGCTGTTTATAAAACTATGAATATTTTGCGTGAGCATGTGTAGATGCTTGTTACCTTCTAACCTTAATAATGTTACTCATTCAGTCATATGCTGGAACTAAAAATAAGAAAAACTTTTTTTTTTCTTGAGAACGCTTTCAGACTTTTTCAAGTTGTTTACGGTTCAGATAGATAGAAAATTTAGTTTATATATATAAATTCACCTAATTTAATGGTATTTTCTCTGACTATATATTCTATCTAAGGCAAGAAAAAAAAAGTAAGCATTCACCTCCTTTTGTTTGCGAAAACTTTAACAACAAGTATTGTGTAGAACTACTTCAGTCTACACGAAACTTTTCTCTACACAATTTTTTTTATGTGTTCTGGTTTTCTCGTATGTACATTGAAGAGGATAATGAAGTGGGCCCAAAGTTTCAGATTACAATTTTTGTGGTTCTACAGCGGAATTATGGAGCTAATGGATTTTATAATTCTTTATGTCCCTTTCTGTGAGTTTACGTTTATTTGTTTGTTTGTTTTGTGTATATTTATACAACTATGAATACGAGGAATTTCTCATGGGCGATAAGAAGGAAGCAACAACTAGGATAGTTTCTGAATGCGAAACAAGGATTTAAGTTTTTGCTTTTGTTTGTAAGTTTGCTAATGGGTTGAAGTTGTGGACTTTTAAAGGAATAAACAAGAAGAGGAAAAAGAAGCAAAATTTTTGCATCAAATCAAGCAAACCTTCTGCATCAAAAGAAACAAAAACTTCTGCATCAAAAGAAACAAAAACTTCAGCATCAAAAAAACAACATTTTCTGCATCAAAAGAAGCGAAATTTTTGCATCAAAAGAAGCAAAATTTCTGCATCAAATGAAGCAAAAACTTCTGAATCAAAAGAAGCAAAAATTTCTGCATCAAAAGAAGAAAAAACTTCTGAATCAAAAAAGCAAAAACTTCTGCATCAAAAGAAGCAAATATTTTCTGCATCAATAGAAGCAAAGATGAATGCTTAAAAACTTCACACCAAACCCCTAACCATCCCTTGGCACTCGACTTAAAATGTCATAATTTCCGTCCGTTCCAGTTCTTTCTTGTAAGTAAACTTTTTCTGTTTACTCATTAAGCAAAATTTATATCATAAAATTATAGATAATCTGTGACACACAAGAAAAACTCTCTCATTATAATAAGTTAAGCGCATCACAAACAAAAGGGGAAAGAGAAAAATAATTTATTGCCTCGAGATGAGAACAATGGAAGCAAATTTGTCTGTGATACTTTTGCCCTACACCTGAGTCTCACTCCTACCAATCTCGGTGGATGTAGACGAATAATAGAGTCAACAACGTATTAGCAAAAATTAATAAATGAAATTTTATAGGAATAGAAAATTTTACTGTTTGAAAATTTATATTAGATTAGAGCACCATTATTTTGACACATTTATTACTCGATCCATAAATCATCATGATAAAAAATATTACGCTTCCACATACCGCACATACGTGAGTGAATATATTTTGTAGTTTTCAATGTTTGGTGAGGAAAGTGAGCGCATTTAATGGATAGAATTGTTGCATTTGTGTGGAATGAGTTCATAAACTAGCCTCAGGGGATACATGTGATGGAATGTAAAGCTAGAAATGTACCTTCATGATCATAACAATTCTCCTTTGTGAAATCAAGCATTATAAATACAAAATATCACATTTCATTGAGTTCTATCTTAATAGACCGGACTAAGCAGAGATAACAACATTTTATTCATAAAAAAAACTCAACCAGATATATTTTACATATAGGGTGAAAAGTTCATTATGTAACACCACCACAAATTTATATCCATATACCTTTATGTAACATATCCAGGAGAAGGAGCAAAAAAATTATCAGGGTGAATTTTACACATATTTGTGTAGTATTTTAATAAATTACTATAAAGGCAATGAGGCTTTAAAGTAATAAAAGTCAAAAAGTTTTTTTAAAAGCAGATTTAGTGAATATGGAACATACATGTTATGTGATTATGACGATTATATGGTTAATTAACTTTTATGGATTTCTGATAATCAAGTGGAAATGGATTTTGTTCCATCGAAGCACTTCATTACTAATCCTATTTGAACTTAATTTATAGAAATTTATTAGGAAAGTCGCAATTAATAAAATTATTTCCAATCAATTGATGATGTTGGTGACCGGATAAACTTCTAAGTAGTATCATGATAATTTTGATGATTTTTTCTGATAATTATTTTTTGATCAAGTTTCATGATACATGACATGCCTTCTGTCGAACAATTTTAGTAAATTTTTGATCAAATGGTCCTTAACTAGTATAGAAGCCGCCATTAAAGATGTGAACGGACGAACTAAGAACTTAAGTTATATCCAGAACTTAATAGCTTGATCCACTTGGATAAATGTCATACCTGGAACTAGAACATAAGATCCAATTATAATGTAGTCTTATATAGATTTACGAACCAACATTCAGAAGCATTTAAGTCAAGTCCCGATATGAGGAATAAAGTGTCCCAATAATTAAAATGTAATACAGTCATGACGCTACTCTGGCTTAATTAGAATGAATAAAGTAATAATAAAGTCCCGAACTGACATGCATGCCAGCTAGCCAAAATGGACCTATACGCGCATTGTTTCCTAAGGGGTCGTTCACTTATGACGTCCATCAAAAAACCTAATTTTTAGACCCCCCTCCCTTCTGTCACAAAAATTCTATAGAAAAAAAATTTCAATTGTTTGAACTGTCACAAAATCCTAGACCCCCCCCCCCCACCCCTAAATGTCGTACGTCATAAGTGAACGGCCCCTAATGAAAATGCACTAAAACATCCTGAATCTCCTGAAAAATCAAGCAGATGACCCTAATCATTTATCATGACCAACTTGTTGATTTAAGTTCAATGTTTTAAACATGAAGTTGAAAATTTCATAAGTTTGTGTATTAAAATAATATTTGTTATTTTTACATAAATCAGGGGACTTTGACAAGTCATCTTGTAATCCACACATGTTCCATGAAATGTAATTAGAAAGGAAATTAATCATATTAATACATTTTAAAGTTTATCTTCCATTATTTTAATTTTTTTCATAGCTGATAACTCTTTTAGAATCACCAACCCGATCTACACACAATGAAATTTTTTTTGAATAGTTTGGGTTGATAGTATGATTAGAACCAAGCGGAAGCTAATTGCCTTGGGCTGCAGGGTGGAAAACATTTCAATGTGTGCCGGTCGGGATCGTCGCAGTTTGTTTTATATTACGATTATTAATGAAAGTTGCATATTCATTTTTCAGGGAAAAAAAAATAAAAATGAGTCAACTAGTTGAATTATTAAACTTAAATTCTCGTGCCATTTAATTTATCAAATTCTCTAAAGTAGTCAAATAAATCAGACGTTTCTTGTCAATTAATTATAAAGACTTTCTGCTTGATCTTAATTTTTTTTTTAACTTTTAATTTGAAATTGTGATCGTATGAAGAAAATGTTGAAGATGCAATTTAGTTTTTAAAGGCGATGATTTGAAAATAAACATAAGTGAAGAAGTTCTCGGAAATCTCAACAAAACTGTTAATTTAAAGAGAATTTGAAATAAGTTAAAATGATTCAAGATAAGGAACATATTGTGATTGAAAATGAAAGCAGTTCCAGTGAATCTGATGCAGAATATCCACGCCAATCAACATTAAGCATTTTATCATCATCGGATGACATTATTAAAGTCAATGAAAATTTTTTGATTGAATTATCAAAAAACAATAATAAATTAGCCAACAGAGAAGTTAAAGAATCATGTAAACTTATAAGTTTCTCATCTGAATTGACAGCTGATGATATTTTAGTAGCAATTGATAAATTAGATAGCAGACAATATCCAAATTTATTTATTTTCATAATTCATGCAGAAAGTATCCAGTTTAGTAAAATTAAAAAGCGGAAAAAAGACAGAAGAAACAAATTAGCCAACTTTTTTAAGGAACTAGTGTTAAAATTTTCAAAGTCACGTTCATTAATTTTACAACTTACATCTAAAATTGAAAAGATTACAAAGTTTTACTATAAAACAGCAAATGCCACTCAATTTTCAACCATCGATCAGCATCAAAAAGATTTTGATAAATTAAGGAACTTTCCAACATTTTTGTCTTCATTTTTGGAAAAAAAGAATCAAAGTTTTGACTATGAAATCATCGAAAAGCTATCAAATGTTCAAGAATTGCCGTTAACTTTAAAGTTCATTAGAATTTTTAACTTGAGTGAAAAATTTTGGTTAAAAATCATTTCTGAAGTGTCTAAAAATGGTTCAAAAGCTCAATTATTAGCTGCTTTAGATGCTTCATTTAAGGATGAAGGAAGAATCCTTACCATTGAATCAGAAAGCTATTTATCAAGTACATTCAATGAATTTCAAGCCGCAAATGAGCAACTATCAGAAATAAATCATTTCCAACAAGAATCAGAAAAAATAAATCTTTCCAGTCAATCCTTAATTGATGGTGAGCCCATTGACAATCCATTTGAAACATCAATCCTTCACAAAGCTTTAGAAAATAATAACAAAGAAATTATCGAATATCTTGTAAGTCACTGCACGCACTTGATTCAACAGCTTCCATATAGACAGCAATTAAAAATTTCTACAGAAGCATTTTCGACAAATAAGCTTGATATTCTATGTGATCTTGTTGAAATATGTGATTTTCCATTTCCTGATAATTATAACTTTGATGACGGAACAGTTGTTGATGAAAAGCTCAGAAAAATAACTAAGAACAGAATTGAATTTCAACGAGCGATAATTTTAGGAGATTATGAGCAAATTGATGAGTTTTTAGATAACAACTCGAGCCTTAGAATTGTGTATAATCCAGTCAATGATTCAGCCATGTATCATGCAGTAAAAAAATTGCAATTCCCAGTTTATTTTTATCTTAAATCATTTGGATTTGTAGCAACAGAGTTCAATTCACTTCAAGACATTCTTAATGAAAGTGAATTAGCAGCAGCAAAAAAATCTGCTGGACAACAAAGAAAACGGAATGTTAGTAATTCACTTTCAGATGACCAAAAGTCAATCAACTTACTGTACACAAAATCATTTATTCACAATAGAAAGATCAGCAAAGAGCAAGAGATTGAATATCGAAAGAAAATCAGAAAATGGTACGAAGACATCCACAATGTCAAGTTTGGTGCTGAGGTTCTGAAAGTTGTAGCTTCATGCGAAGAATTGAAAGTGATTTTTGACTTTGAAAGCTTTTCGGTGAGTAAAATTTTTGTTTATGTTGTCACTTTTAGCTTCAGATTACCATTTCGCCTTCATAACCTAGAAAGTTCAAACTCTATGAAACTTTAATTCAATAAAAATAAATTTACTCTTTTTAGGTCGAGAATGCTAGTCTTTCAGGACCTCACTATTTAGGTTCAACATATTCAAATCGTAAATGGATCTTCATTGGAGCTAAATTGTCTGATAAGAAACGTGAGCAGCAAATTAAAGGAGTTTTAGCTCATGAACTATGTCACTTTTCTATGGGAATAGCTTTCGAGAATCATGATAATCCCTATTACAAGCACATGACAAATAAAGCAGAAATATTTGAAGCAATTGTTAAAATCTTCAATCAACGGTCACCAAATGTACCAGACGATGAATGTAACGGAACTATTTTATCAGTTTTTCAACTTTATGACAAAGTCGATTATCATATAGAATTGGTGGTAAGGATGCTGCACATTCTTGTTGAATACGATGATGATGAAGAGAAATCGAAGCATCTACAGGATAAATACAAAATGCTTTATGTCTTTTGGGAGCTTCACATCATTCCAGAGCTTGAAAGCTTTGATTTAAAAGGTCGTGAAGCTGTTCGGAGGATTAATAGAATTTTTGACATATTGCCAAGTATAAAGGCTGAAAAATTAAAATTTACTGCTTCAAAAGACATTCCGGAAGTAATTAACAATCAATTTGTCATAGCTACATCAAATGTCCCAAAACTTCTATTGATCAACATTTGCAGAAACCTTGAAAGTAAGTATGGAAATTTATTTGACACACAAAACATCTTTATTGATTTAAAAAAGCTTAAAAATCAAGAAATGTTGAGGAATTTAGTTCAAATAGTGTCCGAACATCCAAAATTGAGAACATTCATTGACTGTACTAAGGGAGGTTCAGAAAATATTAGAAACATTGAGATGACAAAAGAATTGACCATGATTTTTGTTGTATCCAGTGCTACCCAACGAGATGAGATTCTTCACAGCATGAAGAATAATCAAAAGAATGCAACAAAATTAGAAATAAATTACAAATGGTGTGACTTGACTGAAGAAAGTCAAAAATATCTCTTGGAAACGAAAGTAAATTTTCAAAATGATAAGCAATATTCACTAAACGACATACTTGACAGGAGGTCAAATGTAAACAATAATTTTGAAGACATCATTGATTGTCAACTCCTGAATTTATTGGTCAATAAATCAGACATTCCAATTAATATGATTCCAAAAAGCAGTGGAACTGACATCAACTTTAACTGTCTCTTTCAAACTCGACAATTCAACGATAAATCCTCAACTAAAATCATTCAAGATCGGCTTTTGAAGGAAGTCAAGAACAAGAAATATGTCTTAATATCAGACATAGCAGGAAGTGGGAAGAGTTGGATCATGAAAAACTTTGCAAATGTGCTAAGAAAGCAAAATCCAAAAACATGGGTTACATACGTTGACTTGAAGCTATACATTGAAGACTTTAGAGCATCAAAATGCAATACAACATTTTTAGATTTCTTTACTGAGAAAATTTTCAAGACAAAAAATAAATTCGAGGTCAAAATATTTTTAAATCTTTACAAAAGCGGTAAAGTCAACATCCTTTTTGATGGATTTGATGAAATTGCTCCAAACTATGCTGATTTTGTCCTGCAATTAGCTGAATATTTTGAATCAAATGGAACAAATCAGCTGTGGATTGCAACAAGAGAATATTTTAAGATTGATATTCTTAAAAAGCTTAAAATTGATGCTGTGTACAAGCTAGATGAGTTTACAAAAGAAAATGGAATTAATTTGGTAGTGTCAAGCTGGATTCTAATGGATTTAAAAGGAACAAAAGATTTCAAATCAAGAGAAGAATTTGAAAATTATTCAAAAAATTTGCCAAATTATAAAATTTACGAACAAAAAGCACGTTTAATAGTTCAAAAAGTTGCTATGGATGAAAAGCATTCAGTTGGACTGCCTCAATTATTCAAAATGATCGCAGAAGGGTACCATGACGACAAAGACACAACATTTAATTTACAAGGATATAAAATTTATGCGAAATTCGTACATAACCTCTACAAAAGATGGTCAGAAAAGAAAGGTCTGCTCAGAAATGAAGCAAGCATCAAAAGTATTGAATTTGAAGTAAGCTTTTGGCAATTTCATCAATATTTCGCAGTTAAAAAGCTTTTTCATGAGTTTGTTAAGGCATTGTTTCCAAATTACGATGGATCTGAGTGGATAGTTACAGAAACCATAGCTTGTGGCTTAATGAGCAAGCGTGGTAAAACATTTTATTTTGTACATGAAACATTCCGTGACTTTTTCGCCAGTGACTTGATTGCTAAAGCTTTAAAGAAGCTGAATATTACCGAAAAGTCTACAATTTCTAAATTCTTTGGGAAAAAGGAACAGCATGACTACATTATCGAAATAGTTGTAATTGTTCTTACAACAAAAGAGTATGGAACTATCTTAATGTTCCTGGATGACGCAATTGACGACTATTCAAATTTAGAGAAGATTCAGTCAAGTGTTCAAAAAAGTATCAAAAAATTTTATGAAATGGAAAATTTTTGTGAATTTTTTACGAAGAACCTTAAAATGTTGACAACATTTTTGATTGCAATCCTTAAAACTGGTGATTATGCAGAAGTTAAGAAACTAGTGACTGAAAATGCCAGAAAAATTATTGAAAATACAGAAGACTCGAAATCATTCTTCAAATTCCAAGAATTTATTTTCATGTTCCTTAAAGTCGATGACTTTAAGGATTTAGTCAAGAATGAAGGAATCATTCAAGCAATATTGACGTCAAGACTTTCGATAGAAGCATTTAAAGATTTTGTAATTAAAGCTGAAAGAGTCACTGACCATAAATTTATAAAAGATACACTAGAGTTAAGTAATGTGAAGTCAATGGACGGAAACATTTTTCATAAGCTTAGCTGTTCCGTAAAAATTGATGGCCATAAAGTTCAAATATTTTTAAAAATCATTCAGAAATTTTTTAAGATGCCTAAAATACTTGAACTTGTCAAAAAGTTCAATGATCAGGATCAAAATATTTTTAAAGTTTGTGTTAAGGCAAAGAACACAGAAAATCTCAAGATTTTATGGACAGAACTTCAAAATTTTTTTATCCTCAACAACACTCCGCAATATTTTAAAGAAATTATTAATCAGGAGGACTCGACTGGATGCAACATTCTGCACTGGACAGCAAATTGTGATCAAATTGAATTTCACGAGACTTTATGGAATCTTTTGTTGACAACATTTGAAGATCGAGAGGAACTGAAGGATTTTGTTGTCCATAGAAATAAATCAGGTGACAATTCCTTCCACAAACTTGTCATGAACCAAAATAATTTAGAAATAATTGAATTAACAATGGACATCTACAAGAAGAATTTTAATGATGCTCAGCTTCAAGATATATTAAAATCTGTTGGACATTTAGAACTAAATTTACTACATTCTGCTGCATATGAGTCAAATGTAATCAGTCAGCAACAATTTCTTTGGAAAATCTATCAAAATTTTTATAAATCTGACCAAGAATTCCTCAAAACTCTTGAGGAAGTTGACACGTTTGGCAGAAACATTCTCAACATTGCTGCCGAAAATTCATCAAATGAAGTTTTTGAATTCATAATGCAAGAAATAGAAAAAATAGCACCACTCGATACAATCAAGAATATGTTAAGTAACATGAACAACAGCATGAGAAACATCTGACAGACAGCAGTGATGTACAATAAGTTTTCAAAGCTTCATGAATATTTGTGGATTATTTATCGAAAATATTTTGAAGAAGCACAAATTTTAGAGTTCATCAAGCACCTTGATAAGGATGGTGATGACATTTTATTTATTGCTGTTGGAAGCAACACAAGAAAAATTTTGGAACTAACATGGATAGAGATTAAAAGTATTGTGGATCCTGTCGAGCATGTTGAATACTTAAAGATGAAAGCATATAATGGTAAAAATTTATTAAAAAAGTCAATTGACAATCAGAAGTATAAGAAGGAAGTCCACGAATGGGTTCAAAAATTAATGCACGAATATCTGCCGTATTTTAAAGAAATTGTTCGGCAAAATGATTTAGATATTTTGGATATTTTATATTGGACGGCTGATAGTGATAAAATTGAGTTTCATACAACTTTATGGGATGTTTTGTTTAAAAAGTTCGAAAATCGAGAGGAACTAAAGAATTTTGTGATCCAAAAAAACATTTTAGGTGACACTTTTGTCCACAGACTTATCCACAATAACAAAAATGCAATCATTAAGTTGACTTTTGAAACTTTTAAAACAAATTTCGGCAATGATCAATTTCGAGCAATTCTAGAAGCAAAAGGACGTTTGGGTATGACATTACTTCAAACTGCTGTTTATGAGTCAAATGTCGTAGGATTCCATCAAATTCTCTGGAGAATATTTCGAGATTATTACAATTCTAAAGAGTTTTTAGAGATTATCAAAGAAGTGGATATGCGTAAAAGAAACATCTTTAACATATCCGCAGCTCATTCATCTATTGGATTATTTCATTTTTATATAAGAGAACTGCAAAGAATTTCACCAATTGATGTGATAAGAGAGATGCTTAAGAACCTCGATGATAACAATCGAAATGTATTACAGTCAGCTGCTATGAGAAATGCATCTTTAGAACTCCACAGCTTTTTATGGAGAGTTTTGCGACAGTTCTTTGAGCCATCAGAAATAATATGGTTCATAAAGCATGTTGATAAGTATGGAAATAATATTTTATTCCTTGCCGTTATAGAAAACACGAAAAAAGTTGCACAACTGACATGGAAGGAAATTAAATCTTATCTGAACAAGACTGAGCAAGTTGAGTATCTTAAAATTAAAGGATGGAAAGGTAAAGATTTAATTGAAAGTGCCTTAGACAATTTTTATGAAACTAAAATACACGAATGGGTTCAAAATTTAATGCTTTCTGTAATTTCACAAGATGCAAACGTCAAAGATAATGATGTTGATGATGAGTATTTAGAGGATGATGAGAGTAGCTACTACTAAGTCCCTCACACCTATGCTAATTGATTATTCTGCATACCCAAAGCATTAAATCGAAGCAGTCTTCAAGATAAAGCACAAATTCTCCCCAAACACTATTAATTCTTCTACTTAATCAGCAAAATCACTTCCCATGAACAACATCTTCCTACATGTATGTAAAGCAATGAGTGAAACATGTCAATCATGATAAAAATCATACAAAGTACTTCATTTTAAGTCCAACAGATCTATTTCATGTCATCACATCACATTGCTGTATTGTATGGATTAAATTCATCTTCTTACTCATTGACATGGAGACAGCAGTTGATCTAAATGAGCATGTATGATATGATATAAAAGAAAATAAGTAAATAAATACAATGAAATAAATTTTTCTCGAGATGAAAATTCAACAAATGAAAATGCTCATTTTTCCATGTCTAGAGAGGATTATGTACACATACGAGGATGGAGATTAGATGATGAGGGAGTTTTGAAACGTGTACAAAACTTGTTTGAGGGATCAAGCATACAAGATGAGATATCATCGCTTTATAGCTTCTAATTGGTAATAGCAAAGCTCTTCAATTTATATGTCTTGATCTTGGTGATGAGAAGGAGTTGTAGATGATGCTGGTGAAAGTTTAGCTTAAGGATGAGCATTTTGAGTAAGATTTTAGAATTTTCTGGTCTGAAAACTCTATTTTAACGGATAATCAAGATAAGCTTCCCTACAAAAATTGTAATCTAGCTCCACTTTACAAACCCCACCCTCCCCTCATGTTTCCAAGCCTGCAAAGCCCCCTTAAGCCTTATAAAATCCCTTTCTCGCATTTCCATTTCATTTTCCTTCTCAAATCCAATCCAAAAGTATATTCCGACATATTTATTATACTTATTGCTCATGACGACAAATTTGTGTCTTATATTTATCATCAAGACGACAATAATGATAATGATGACGATGACGAAATGAAATAAGATGATACAATATAAATAGATAATATTTGAGGAATAAATAAAACATGAATGACACATTTTGTGATAGAAATCTTTCAATCATTTTCATCACTTTCATCTCATGGTATTTTTTCATAAAAATGGAAAGTTGACAATCGCTTGGCTGGCGCTGTTGCTTAATATCGTAATGATATCTCCGACAAAGGAAGAAGCATGTCTCAAGGGTGGACTTATATAAACATTTATCAACATTTTTTTTTCTTGTGCTTTTTCATGTTTGCTTTGCTTCTTCACTTACGACAAAACGCGATTCTTTCCTCATCATCATGTGCTTTTCAGTCTCTGAGCTTTTCTGTACACATACATTTATATATTAAATTGTTTGTATTATGTCCATGAAATATCCATCATTTCCGTTCTCTTTCTGTACTTCCTTCGTTCTTTCTTTTGGATGCCAACAACAATTTCTTGCATTGCTTCCTTAAATCTTCATGAGACACTTTTATAAGCTTCCTTTTTTAACGCTAGTCGTAAAAAATGTGAACAGCAATATCAAAAGTATCCTACGCATATTCCGCCTTTTTTTTATTGTACGATGAACCGTATATAAAAAATATTAAAATTGAAATTATCATAAAAACTTTTTTTCGTCGTGAATAATTTTTTTCTTTCTTATTTCTATATTTGGGGCGTTCAGTTATGACGTCACTTGGTAGGTTGGGAATCACTCCCCTATCAATTATTTAATAAAAGGTGTGTGCAAGAATTTATGTCGAATTATAAACTATAGTGTAGCTCCTGATTTTTGAAGAACTCCACTAAGTGATCGACCCCATCACGATATTAATATTTAATGTCATTTGACGTTTTAATAAAGACGTTATATTGCATAAATGCTAAAGCACATTTCATATATATTTTTATGATGGATAGGTGATCAAGACTCTCTTTCTTTATCGTTTTATTCTGTGTTGGATGTTGAAATAAAAAAATCTAAATGGCAAATTTTTTTCCCCACTTCAGCACAAGAAATAATGCTTGAGTGATGATGATGGAAATTATTGCTGTTTTTTAAGGCGGAAGAATTGGAAATTAATCACCATAATTTGAAATTTAAAAAGTAGAAAAACAAGGATATAAATTGAAAATAATATTAAATCGGAATTCTCGTTGTTTTGGTTTCTGCTTTATTTTGAGAAATTCAGTGAATATTTTTTTTATATTCAGCATGTGTGTCTTGATACAGTATTTCCGTGGAATTAATGAATAAAATTAAATATCAATTCGTGGTGCAACGGTTCAAGCTTATAGCTTCATTAAGTCAATGTAAGTTTTAAGAGATTAAAGTGGTCCAAAATTGATGTCATTTGACGGTTCTAATGGATGCAGCTCTACATCTTTGGTTCGAATCTCAATAAGAGTTTCACAAGCTTCGCCATAAATTAGTTCATCCTCAAAAACCTCATGAAACGCCAAAAATAAATCCACAATTAACAATAGAGTCGATTTAAAAATCATCAAATTAATTCTATACATTCCATATTCACATCACACTTCCATTAGATCCACCATTCCAAACATCCACTCAATAGAAAATTAAATGCTTAATTTCCTCTCAAAAGTGCCAACTCAAAACCAAATCCCATCTCCAAAAACTTGTCTAAAATATCACTCAATGAACTGTAGATGAGATTATATATATTTCGGACAGCCATTGTTCTACTTGATTGAGGACTGAGATTGAATTTTCTGTCACTTCTGTACACAAAAAGCTCCCTTTTTTGAAATGGGGACAGACATCTACAGATTTTCTTATTACAATACAGACAATTTTAACAAATGAAGTCACTTATCAGAAACTTTTTAGCTTTTTTTTCCTCTAAATGAATTTTGTCTGTTGATGAACCAAAAACTTTCCCTTTGTCAGCAGAAAAGTTCAAAGGAAAAGTAAATGACTTTAACAGAAAAAAGGTCAAAAAAACATCCCAAGATAGCTAGGAGATGCCGCCATTATCAGTCTATTGACTTTTCATTATCCAATCGAAAAGACCTTTCACATATTATTTTATGTCAAAATTCAATGAAATGAAAGAAAAGAAGAAAATCCACATTTCTAGTAAATTAAATCATTTGTGATGTACAAGAATAAGTTTTCGATTTGCTGAGGAATTAGTGGTGGATTTAGGGGGTTTGAACTCTTTGAAGGAGATTTTTAAGCTGTTGTTAAGGTTTCTGAAGAAAAATTCTAATCTTTCTTACTTTGAAGGTGTCAATTGAAACTACTAACTTACTTAACATGTGAAACTTGATCTGGGTTTCTTTTTGTGCCCGGTTTCAAGTGCTACATGAGGCACCCTATACTAATCTCAGATTTATTTTATTTATATCTCATTTTATAATAAATCGAAATTAAATTCTGCCCTAGAGGTGATCTATAAACTGGGCCTTGAGCTTAAATAAAAATAATCTGAATGTTCAAGCCAAGCGATGTGTTTCTACACGGTGCGACGAACTGAAGCTACTACGATCCTGATCTATTGTCTCTGGGCTGGAGAGTTGATGAATTTTTATTGGGTATTGTATCGTGCGCTGAAAAGCCTCAGAAGCTTCCTTTTGATTCATAGTTCATTACGAAGTTTTATAATAGATCTGAACCTTTGCCTCTTTTTAAGCTGTTTTATATCCCCCCTCCTTCCTCTCTCCATCTCTTCCTTCACACGTCCCAAAATAATTTCTGACTATACATATTCTTAGTTGTGGTACGAGAAACGCTTATTCTCATTGTGAATAAGGAAAATGAAGCTTGAAAATTCACATGAGAAGATGTGTTGGGAAAGGTGGAAGGCAAAACATAGCAAAAAAGAAAAAAAAAATACACAAAATAAAGGAAGCAACAAAAAATAAATCAGAATGAAATGAGAAAAGAATATTGAGTTTCTCGCTTGATTTGACACGTAACAAAGGAAAGATTTTACACGATAAAATGAGAAAATAAATGAAGTTTGATAAGAACAGGCATACATAATTATTTATGAGTCCCAAAGTTGATTTGATTCTTTTTCCTTTACTTCCGCAACACAAAATGAATTTGTAGATATAGTCCAATTGTTATTTCTCAATAGAATTGTATCTTTTTTGGTATGCCAGTAAATGAAGATTTAAGAAAAAAAGGAAATGGAAAGGTTTATCATGCGAAAAACATTAGATACATCCAGTTCTCTCTGTGATATTTCAGTTATTGGATTTTTTCATTTTCTCTCCACACAAAAATGAATTTTGGATTATGAATTTTTCATAGGTTGTGTATGGTAATGGTATATAAGGTTTCTGGCATTTATTGATTACAAAATCAATCATAGATCAAAGGAATTTCAATGAACGGAGGGGATTCGGTTGCCGTTCCTATGGAAAATTATGATTATGTTTACTCTTTCTTCCGACGAAGTGGATGGAGGAACAGAATTTTATTGTTGGGGTTCTTTTTGAACAAAAAAGGTAAGGAAGATGAGCAATATTCTGTAATCTTGGATGATTGAGTTAATAAAAATTTTGATGTTATTAAGTTTACAATGGGTTTAGAAGAATCTGTGGATGAAAATGCGGGTTTGATTAAATCTTTATTGATTAAGATGCTTTTATGATTTTTGAATGTTTAAGAAGTCTTTGAAAGTTTTTAAATTTCAAACAAAAAGTTTTTAAATTTCAAACTTAGAGAAGTTTTTTGATTAAAAGGAAAAAAATGTTTTTCTAAATTGAAATTAGCTTTTACTTATAAATATTTTTTTAACTTTTAAAATTTTTTATCGATTTTTTAAGCGTAATTTCAAACGTTTAAATTTTATTTCAATTTATAAAATTTTATTTTAATTTTTTTATATTTTATTTTGATTTTTTAAATTTGATTTTGAATTTTTAAATTTCATTTTGAATTTTTAAATTTTATTTAAATTTTTAAATTTTATTTAAATTTTTTAAACTTTAAGCAAACCTCAAAATGCGCTGTAAACTCTCTAAACCCACTTCCTTAATTTTTTTATGTTCTCGCCCCCATAAAATCC